GTTCTACTGGGCCAATTGGCAAAATTCAAATTGCGTTTTTCATGTCTCGACAGCGCGACTTAGGATATATATTAGATTTATATATATTATTGTTCTAACATAGATATTTTGACATAAAACGGACATTTTCTGAAATTATCGCTCAAAAAAAAAGATGCCAAATTTCAAAACGCGCCAATATATAAATTCACGTATACCATCGGAAATTTTGAATAAAAAACTGTGATTTTTTGCAGGTATGCTTAGAAATACGTCTACTTTAAGATGATGATGGTAAAAATTTATAGATTATATTTTTTTGAAAAATTTATAAAAATTATTTAGAAATACAAATTTTAAAAATAAATCATAAAAAATGGGTGAATTTTATTTGGAATGAACCTGAATTTCGAAATGTGAAAGGAAGAATAAAATACGTTTAATAAAAAAAAAGATATTAATAAATATATACCAAACTCAATTAACATTGAGGAGCTAAAATTTTGAGAGCTAATTTTTTAAAAAACTGCTCTTGCGATCTGATTTTGTGTCAAAATACCTACATTAGAACAATGCTGTATGTAAAGCTAATACATATCCTAAGTCGGGCTTACGAGGAATGAAAAACTCAAGTTGAATTTCGTCAATCGGCCCAGTAGAACGAGAGATATAGAACTGTCGCAATTCTTTTTTTTTTTTTTTTTTTTTTTTTCAGTATACGTGTCTCGCATAATTAATATATATACAGTAAAAAAGGGAGGTGCATAACTAGATGATACAGCTGTCCCATAAGCAAAATTTCAATGTTATATATATATATGTATGTGCGTGTGTGTGTGTGTGTGTGACTGCGTGCATAATGTATATTTGCGATTCTGTTTCATCTCGGGGTAATTGCGACATTTTTGGGCATCGGATTTAAATATTGCATATAATTTTTCCATTTTCTAATTTAATTTCCTTTTATTTTAACCTTTAATTGCTCAAAAGGTAATACGAAATAAAACGTGATCCAGTTCTTTGGGATTATTCAGGTTTTCATGTTTCATATATTTATTTATTATTGACTTGAGAAGTCTGTCTGGAGTCTGAAAATGAATAATTTAAAATGTATCTTATAATTTTCATATGATTTATAAGTTTATTTTAAATAAAATAATTTTTTCAATATAGTATGGTATCGTCTTAAATTTTGCTTTTGTTTTTAATATTTAATAGGTTTATTTTAATACAATTTTAGAACTTTCCTAGATATACTTCCATTAAATTATCAAATTGAAGTTTTTGATTATATATATATATATAACTAGCTCCCTTACCTGGCTTTTATTTTCGCAATCGTTGGTGGTAGTCATATACTTCTAACTTATGTATTTCAAGTAAGGAAAATATTCATGTTTTGGCAATCTCAAATAAAATAATAGTAATAAAAAATGTTGGGCAAATATACAAAATCTAACTTTTAATGCGATCTCCCAGTTTTATACTGATGTTTAGGAAAGTTTTATACGCATTATGAAAATTATGAAAAACTAAAAATACAAGAAGTGTGACTCCCGTACCACAAAAATTAAAAGGGATATTTGATTCCAAAAGTTGCAGTTTTAATATCATTTTCAATTTGGCTTGAGAGATCTGTTAATTAAGTTAGAATAATTCGAGGAAATAAGTTTAAATGAAGTGAGACAAAAATGCGTACAATTTAACGGGTCGTAAAAGTCGTATGGTGCCCACATCAGATTTTTAATCATAAAATAATTCATATTTAAATAAAGCACACTGAATTAAGATACTAACGTCATTGAGTTGATGTTGCCCTAGAATTACAAAATGCTAAAAAATAGCAGGACTGATGTTATCGATAATATGAAATTTTGAGAGCATACTATCATTAATAAAACTGGAACAATGTGCTGTTAAAAGATTAAAAACTCATCAAAATAGATAGTATACATTTGAGATACAGTGGATGGACAAAAATATGGAAACACCTTGCGAAATGCATGTTTCAAAAGAAAGATTGATTTTAATGAAATATGTAGGTGGCGCTGGCGTTTTTGACTACTGACGCCACCTATACAACTTCGTAAATGTGCTAAATAGTTCAGTTGTTGTCGGAGTACTGTTATGTGAGTTTGTCATTGCATTATGTCAGAGTTAACAGACTTCGAACGTGGGCAAATTGTTGGAGCACGTATGGTAGGTGCTTCTGTAAGCAAGGTAGCCGAGGTGTTTAGTGTTTCAAGAGGTACTGTATCGAAGATTTGTTCCGCATATTTGAAAAGCTGAAAAATCAAATATCAATATCAATGCATTGAGATATATCAAATGCATAATCTGCACATGTCACATGTTAAAGTAGCCAAAGCTACTTTGATTGTTCATAGTTTAGATTAACGACAACTAAACGGTGTTTATAACCTGTCACATTAAAATAAGCACTGCAAGTGTATTTTTCCCGCTCTGACTTGGCTCGTGATGATGCTAGCCACTGCTATGGCAGATTACCGGATCTTTAATATGTTTCTTCTGAAACTTCGGAATCAAATATTTTGCTAGGTTTATATTGCTGTTCTTATGATAGTTACAGTTCTTGCAAAGGCAGTGCATATATGAAATTCTTTAGCATTTTCGTTCGATTCAAAATTTTACCTATTTGCGGAATCCCTATATTTATTGTAAATGTAAACCTAATTGATGACGTAGAGATGGAAGCGTTATGCCTAAGTATCACGTAACTGTGAATTTGTTGATCGATGACTGTTGTTAAGGTAATTCGTTAAAATTTCCTAATCCCCACTTTGCTGTGATGGCGACATACCTTAAGATTAAAAATGAGAAGAAGGTGAGTACGACTGTAAAATGCCTATGTTTAAAGAACATAGTATAAATAGAAGAATTATATTAATGCTGACAAAAGTTAAAAGAAATGATTGAGCACAGTGAGTAAAATAATTGTGACGTGAATGGCTAACGCAAATACATAGGAGAATCAATGTAAAAGAATTGTGATTGCAATAAGCTTCAAGTTGCCCCTGTCAAATATCAATGCCCCTCTCATGGAGTGAGTATACTAGTCTACAAATATAACAACGCGATTAACATTTTAACGCCTAGAGATGAGGAAGAGATTAACAACAAGCAAATACTCTACTCCAAAGAGTATTGGACCAAAGAAGTATATGTATGTTTGAGTAAAATAATTGTAGGAATTTGGAAAGCATAAAACCTGTACAGTTTCTAAGAATATTTCTGGAGTATAGGTTGATCGTAATCTTCGATAGGAATCTTCGCTCAGAAGACAATCGTGGTTGTTTTCGAATCCATCTGCAGCGACTGGACATTTCCCGTACTCTTGCTACAAAATGTCTTGCACGTCACATCATTACATATTTCTTCTATTATATTCCAAATTCCTTGCAGAGTGAATGATAATGCTGATTCACGCTCTCATCAAACATTAAAACATGAACCTACCAGGTATTGGTTAGAAGACAGCGCTTAATAATTCTAATATGAGGTCACTTTGCTTAACTACATCTTATTTCCTTAAGTATATATATATAACATATTTTCTAAATAACAGATTTCGCTTTCTTACATTTTGCACAATGTTTTGCTCATTTAAGTTTATCAAAAAAAATTAACATTATTCTACATATCACATAGAGTCACCCCCCCATAAGATTTAATAACATCATGTAAATGATTTTTCAATGTATTCTAAATATTTAAAAAATAAAAGCTTACAAACTTCTTACTAATTGTTGCATGCCTTTTTAGTGTTATATCAATGTGCAAAAAAGCATTCAGTTTCTTGTGTAATATTTTGTGGTTTGGGGCTAGGAAGTTTACCAATATTTTCACATAAATGCATGCAATATCTTTAATGATTTATTTCTTGTTGTTAGGGCGCTAACACATCTCATATTTGTTGACAACATTAGTCAACATAAGATTACCACAGCAAAATCAGCTATCTATCCTGCAGATATTGCAATGAACAGGAGGGAAGTATGATTTTCTTCATCGACTGAAAAACAAAACGCAAGATAAAATATTTCCTTTCTTAAATTAACGTCAATCATCAGGAATTTAAAAATATAAAGTCCTGATTGATTACTGTGTATTTAAGCTTCTTAAAATCGTTGAATTGAAATTTCAATAAAATAAATACCACTGAATTATTCAACAGAATATAAGATATTTAAATTTCCAAAGGTAAATTTAATTAATTTATTTTTATGTTTTCTCTTTAAGGGATCAACTACTTTCAAAAACAAAAACATATGTAATTAAATAAATATTTTTTTTATAATATTAATATTCCAATAATTAGAAGAATTTTTAAAATAAACCCTCGTGTAGAATACGCTCTAGAACCAGCGTTGTGGTAAGAACAGCTTTCAGTTCCTGCCGTTTAAGGAACGCAATTCAGCAAATTCCTCATATTAAATCATCTAAACTACTATATACGTGAAACTTTCTGTATACTCTTTTACATATATAGATACACATAAAGTTATTATAATACCTTTTCTACCTATATATTTATTAAAATTTTGTTTTTACCAAATTACAAAATGATTTCATTCTTAATTAAGTTTTCATAAAAATTTATCTTTTCTATTTGCGTGTATGATTTCTCTGAAATGGCTGATTAGAATTGTTAAAGATTTTATATAATTGTGTAAATATTATATCTGCAAAACATTATATCTAAAAGAGCCCCAAATATTGTGTTTGTGACAGAAGAATATTAATAATTTTCTCCAGTCAGAAGCAAAATACTTGGTTTAATGAATAATAAAGAATTAAAATTTACTTTCTTGGAGACTTTTGTAGCAAAAGATATAACTTTTGATATAAAGAAATATACTTATGTTTTAATAAATTGAACAATCTATATTATTTTATATGTTATGAGCAACATAGCATATACCTTAATTCAGAAAACCATGTAACTGAGTTTTTTCTTGCAATTAACCGTTTAATTTAGAATGGTACTTTAACACACTTACTGTTTTTAATTCTTTTTTCATTTTTCGGGTGATGTCAATACTCTTTTTACGAAGTCTTTTGATAGCAAACATACGTCCTTTGTAGATACCAACTGTCGTGAAGATGCTAGTATAACGAAAATCGGCTTCTGCATTTGAACTAAGAGATACTTGACTCGAACGTATAAAGGGATGAAGACCCTATAATGGAAACAAATAAAACAGTTCTCACAAAGTCACTCAAAAACACCTAAAATTCAACAGTACGGAGCATAAATTAAAATTGATGAAACAGATATATATCTTCTCTGTGCTGAAGGGAAAAAGTCAGTCAATTGGGCGAAATTTCAAGGAATATTTCAAAGGGTACATCCTAAACTAATTATATTTCAATTATATTTTGATACAGGATTTGATTCCTATTAAAGTTTGGGTTGATCTTTAGATTATGGTAACTTGGCGATTTTTTTGGTGACCAACTCTCCTACTGCAACCCTCTATTTTTTTTTTCGCCGCCATTTTGTCATCACGAAGTAAAGACATGTTTCTTTTCTTTTTATTTACTCAACACTTTTTCCAACAATCTACTAGCCGAATTACACTTATGCTAGAAATTTTATGCAACAAAACTGCTTAATCATGACAAATATTAACTGCAAAATTGGGAAAAGTACACAATCGCAAACTCCTTTGCGCGTTTTTCAGAATAGCACATACACATAAACCATTTGCACGTCGACTTATTTTTACTTAAAAAAACATCACAGAATTGCACAAAAATGGCATTGCACACACTCTTAACTTTATCCATCTACACTGCTATTTTCTCATAATTTACAAACATTTGCACGAAAATTCAAGAAAATTTTGTGAATCTTTAAACTCGGTAAAAAAGCACATATATGAAATTACCTGATCGCGAAAAAGTATATACACTTTCCAAGGATGAACATTTCCACGTATAAAATAAATAAAATATCCCAAAAACTTTTACCTCTAAATTATCTATTATATTATAAACGTCACCAACGAATTTATACCGCAAACATTAAAAATAGTTACAAATACTTAGTGTCAAATATTTAAATTATTTCCATACACGTTTTACTTCAACTAAAACGTATACCAAATTGCTACAAACATAAAATTCACAAAATAACTATCATTTAATTAAAATATCACTAAACCATGTACACGTCGACTTATTTTTACTTAAAAAACATCCCAGAATTGCACAAAAATGGCATTGCGCACACTCTTCACTATATCCATGTACACTGCTTTTTTCTCATAAATTAAAAATTTTCACGAAAATGCATGAAAATACTCAACGTATACTACTCAAACGTATTCCAAAATACTACAAACATATAACTCACAAATCACGATCATTAAATTAAAATATAATTAAATTAAAAAACACTACTTAAAATATAAATAAGCACATACATTAAATTAATAAAAATTAGATTACAATCCTAATTACTTTAAACTAAATCATTGCTAATAACAATTTTCCAATAATACCATATTAATTTATTTACTCCTTACATTTAGAACAATTCATAAAAGTAATATCCTCAAATGATTAAAAATACTAACTTACCTAATATTCTTCAGAATCTTCATTACGTGGCACGCACACTTCCCTACAGAAAGAGTTCCAATCGGCTGCAGTACTACTGCTAATTTCTAAATCCGAAATCCAGTAGTCAACTGGCAGTCTATTCACCCAGTAATAAGAAATTAATAAAATTTCACCCATACTCAAACTACTTTCAGCAAACCACGTACCCTTCCTTACACTCCGTTTCACAAAATGTCCATTTTCACCAGATTTCTTGCACCGCCATTCAAACTTATCTGGGTAATATCCTTCCTTTCACACAATCTCATTTCATTTCCACATTTTGGACATTCATACTTATCCGCAATAAAACCTACACTCGTATACCATTCAATCAATTCTTTTGAATTATCAGATAAATGCATTAAAAATTTAGAATTCACTTTAAATAGTGCCATGCAATCCGAAAAATTAATCAACACTATTTCACACAACACACAATGAAGCTTAATACAAAATAATATAGTACTACAGATGTTTTTCCAAATTTTTTTACCTCCTTTTCCGATTAAAGAACTGTAATTCATCCATTAATGTCACATGACATATCACATGATCTCTCATTTTCCTCACACAAAATAATGCGTAATCGGAACTGAGTACTTCTCACATTATTAACAAAGTCCTAGGTAGTAACCTTTATCGCCTCCAAAATGTCGCCAAACTACCTGTTACCATATTCCAAAGATCAGCCAAATTTTGAATCCACGGATAACAACGTTATTTTTTCACCCCTTAGCTGCACTTACGCGGAATGCAATCCCTTATCCATATCCACTCACTAAAATTATCTTTTTAGGTTATATCGCTAGTGAAAAAATCAATTAAGATTTTTGCTTATAACAAGGAAACTTTACTAACTAAATTGTACTAAGTTTCTTTTTCAAGATTATTTACCATTTCATCTTCGCCAATGTTTCTTAAATACACTAAACTAAATGCACTTTATTTATTGAGAATATACAAAATTTAAAAAGAACCTACGGGAATTCTTTTAAACACAACTAGCCTGTGGAACTAAAAATTCACCCGAAAATCTTGAAATCTAGTATGCAGGTACTTCTTGACTAAACAAGGCTGTGGAATCGAAAAAGAAAATGCACGATCAATAAAATACAGAGCGTTCATAAGAAACGTTCAAAAGAAATCTAGTTAATAAGAAACGCATATTCTAAGGTATATGTGGGATACGTGGATCGGAAGTTTCAAAGTTCGGACAGCTTACGCGTTTGTTCTTTTTGAACTAGAATTGAAAATGCCGCAAAAATCCATCGAACGAGGGTATAACGAAATAAAAGGTATAGCCAACTGAAATTCAAGATCTCATCAGAGACTTAGAGACTCGACATATTGAAGAACCGCATGAAAATCGTAACGATATAAAATCAGACGCTGTATTCTTTTAGTACAAGCTTGGAACCCATAATTATCGTGAGAGTGCTACAGATCTAAGCTTACAGCTTTTCAGAGAAATTGTCTACTTTTGAGATATGCTATGGCACAGACATCTTCATTATCTGAAATGAGAACCAATGTGCCCATGTGTTGGACGTGCAGTATTGACGAAGAACACTGCAAGAAGTTTTGAAGTGGCTGGAAGACATCATCGGAAAATTTGGAAACTAAACCCAAGGCATGAACAGTAATTTTTATTCTGCTATCACATTTGCGAAATAAATAATGTATCGATTTGCAGCCAGATGTTGTCATGGGTTTTGCTTGATGCAGATGACCCGATAATTCCCCGTATACGAAACAGCTCTGCTGCTCCCCTCACTCATTAGGACAGTTATACATATATTACATCCGACGTGAACATTTTGGAAGGTATTACATATAGTGCATGGCTACTAATACTGATCTTTTCACAGCCGGTCATCGTCAAAGATCCTTCGCTTTCGAAAGTGTGCAGGCCTCCATATTTATTAAACATCAAGTCTGTTCACTGCGACCGCTCAATAACAGAGCGAAATTGACGGCTACAACCGGTTTCTCCTTCTTCTGCTGCTGGGCTCCGAAGGTGTAGGACCTTCTGGCCGTTCTCACCCTGGATGACGCTTGTATGCCATTTTGTTCTTTTCGTTCCTGTTTTGACTGCCATCTCCATATTGTATGTAGAGTAATGCATTTCTCCTAGAAAATAGAAATTAGTACTGAAGATTCAACTAAAATTATCTAGATGCTGACTTCTGCAGTAAATTAATGATATTCTACGACTTGAAATATCCTCGAAAGGACTTCATGTGCACATGTACCACTTTCCTGATGATACGAATATTCGCCTCGTGTTTCTTCAAAAATATATTGGAATAACCAGTCAAATCAAATTCCTCCGTTATAAAATTTGATTTTTTTATCATGAAACTTTGTTTAAAGACGATGCACTGAGATTTACTTTGATTGGAATATTATGCATTTCTTGTACGAAAGGTTAGATTTCAAAATGGTAGGACTGTTTCTTTCTGCCGCTGTATGCTCACAGTTAATAAGCTTCTGTCTGGCGATATTTACTTAATTTATGCTGGTATTAATTCAAAATTTTATGATGTCAAGTTATAATAAATATTATTTAGTTCACATTATTTGAAATGTCATCCTTTGGGGGTAAGTTACTTTAATTTTATATTTCTTTATCCACATTCCCTCATTACATTTGGTACATCATGTTGATATTACATTAAGGATACGTGAACTATATCCTATATTTCATTTCTATCAGGGACATCTTTCCTGCTAGTGTTTGATCGCACACTGAGAATGTCTTCAAAGAATATTAAGAATATGTTCTAACTATTCTGTAGACCATCTCCCAAACAAGCATATATAGGGTATGGTAGGACGTCAATTATAGACAATCTTCCTAAGAACTTATTGAGCAATTACAGAATTTGGTGCAGGACAGCATTCGACGTTCTTTGAGTTCCTTCCAAGCAAAACTTTCTCACACATTGCAGTCAAAGAGATTATAATTATGTATGATGCTTCCAAATTTATATTTTTTCATGAATGAATTCAGTGTCTGTTTTTACGTCTCTGTTTGTTTATTTTATCAAATTGCATAATGATAAAGCGATTGTTTTAAGTATGCTTGTTTTATTCTTTCTTCACAGAGAGTATAAGGGTGCTATCTTTTTCATTCTGTTTGGCCCGAAGTCGAAATTCTGATCTGGAAATTTGCAGTTGTAGTTAAGAAGTAACAGCTCACAGCGTAACGATAACTTTAGAAATCCTAGCTCTGACACGAAAATCGAAGGCTCACCGACTGACAAAATTAACACCCGTCGAAATTAATTTTTTACAAAATTATATTGTTACCTATAGACAACCTATATACATAGGTAAGAGCGGTAATGTTTTTGGCCTAAAAACGGGATAGATAGTTTTCCTTGAATAAGCACAAATTAGGGTTCCCACTATAGCTTTTTACTGTTTTTACAATGTCTATCTGCACGTGTGTATTTTTCGTCCACAACAACTCTCATGTCAAACTCCCCCTCCGAAAAAAAAAACACTTTCTCCGTATGTCATATCCTTCTTTTCTTGGGCGTGTAGCTTCTGGATATGTATTTATGTC